TGACCCCGTTTATGGGATAGTTTGGGGTTCAATCTGAATTCTTTACAGATAGGTAACTCCGTATTATAAATTTTAGCTATCGGACAATCGGAAAGACAAACGACTATGACAATTATGAAGTCACAATATCTATATATAAATAAATTATTCATATTATTATGGTGAACTTCTTAGCCGATATCTTGGACATCAGGTAGTGCAAAATAATTCCTAAACGGTAAAACTTAAACTGTAGGACTTCCTGTAAAATGACATCTAAATCAATAAATAAATTCAAAAGTGCAGAGAATCTAAAAGATGTTAACGACTAAGACTTCCGATATAACTGGAGCTCTAAAAGATATTTTACAATACGTAGCTCATCAACCGATAAGGACTCATACTAATGTACTTAATTGTTGAGAAAATTCGAAGTAATGTTACATTCTGTATAAATATTTAATTGTGAGAGAGAAAAAAGATTAAAAGGGTTCATTTAATTTAAAAAATATATTGTAGGCTACCCAACAAATACAGTAACAAACAAGATCAGATTATCTAGATGTCACATTTTGGATTTTTCTAGAACATGTCCAGCCCCTATAAATAGTTACCTAGAGGCCCCAAGAGTTTCGCTTTTTTAGCGTGAGTCTCTACCCAATTCATCCGAGATAGACCACCGATTTCTATTTCTTTCACCTTTATTCTCCAAATTTTTCCTCTCTCCTACATCCCTTTCGCGTTCCCACCGTTTTCCACAGAATCTTCTCTGGGATGTAAAACCTCCAGTTTAATCTCTCTACTTGAGGAGGGGTTTTAATGGGTAGGCACTTCGGCAAATCCGACACTACCCCTATGCAGAAAGTATTTTTTGAAGAGTTCTCTCTTTGAGGAAAAACAAAAAAAAAAAGAAGAGAAACGGAAGAATACCATGCGACATGGCCTAAAGTCTACAGGTTTAAACCATTGTTTAGCATTCGGGATAACATCAGTTCAATTCCGCGTCCGTCTGTCTTGGTCCAAGTTTTTCTGTGGTTTCCTTGAATCACATAGATAAATGCTGGAACACTAACATTCCACAGATAAATCTCACTCCCTTCTGTCTTCATTTCGTCCGTCTCGTCTTTTTCATCAAACTACCACACACCATTTTCCACGGTTCCTGAAAGGGGGCTTAAAGGAGCTTTTTCAGTAATAGATGGTGTGGGAATGAAACGAATTAGATGGAGTTTTATCAGCGATGAGGCGATATAAGGCGAAATAAGAAGAGCGAAGAAGCATAAAGTGTGAGATATAGTGTGATAGTGAAGTAGAAAGTAACAATAAGAGTGCCGTTAATTAGAGAGTAAATAATTAAAAAAATTAATCACAATTGAGAAAGGTGTTTGCTTACGTGACAATATGTTAGAATTGATGTATGTAGTTACATAGGATTGGCACATTAACAAAAAACCCTGTGGGCTTATTTATTCTGGGAATAAAGGATAATATAAATACAAGTGGTTGGTAAATTTAATTGAATAATATTTGATCGATCCTATTTTTGAAATAACAATCGTTAAAACGTAATGAACGAATAAAACAAGAATTACAATCTGCAGAAAAAAAAATTATAAGGGCTCAATTTAATTAATCATTCTAATAGTGTGGATATATGTCACGTCCTACTTATATTGGGCAACATTGTACCGCATTGTACAGAAAGCGCTTTTAGGCCTCTTTTTAATTTTTGGCCATATTCATTATAGGCATCAGTGGTGGCTCCAGGCACACATTTATTTTTCAAAATAGAAAACCTAATTAAGTCGCAATTTAGTTTTGAAACTGCCATTCGTAATAGTTTTTTTTATTTTCAATTATGTTTCACTTCTGGTTATGAAATGCTACAAATGGTGGGGTAAACGACATCTGTAGTACAATGCTACATTTTACAGATCAATATGTATCCAAGCTCACCACTACGTGACAGGCACGTCACCATAATTGAATAAAGGAATTTGAAGTGGTCAGTATTCTAACGAAACAGCCAGATGCGGATCGCGATTTGGATCTTGTTAGATCTCATCAGCGCGTCGCAGACAGTTTCGACAGAACACAGACCAACTTTTCTGTCTTAACAGCCCGTTTTATGAAATCGTGCAAATGGCGCGGTAAACGCCATCTGTAGTACAATGCTACATTATACGGATCACTATGTATCCAAGCGTAGATTACCACTACGTGATAGGCACGTTACCACGTTACTACGACACGTTGATGAGGTTCAACGAGATCGAAATCGCGATCCGCGTCTGGCAGTTTCGACAGAATACTTACTACTTCGAATTTCTTTATTCAATTATGGTGACGTGTCAATAGATGTGAAAACCAGATTGATGTTGATAATTTTTATTCAAACATTGTGAAATTTCAAATTTTAATACTAAAAGTTCTAAGTTTTCACTTCTATTGGCAGTCCCTATAACTGCCAATTTTTTTTGAACACTGGACCCTGGATCATAACAGTCTAATCTATCTCTTCTGATACACAATTTCTGATCAATACTCTGAAAAAATTAAAGAAGAGGAAGATATATGAAATAGAAATAGAATAAGCTATCTCGCACCACTCAGTCACACACATGAGAATAATAACCTCATCGAAAGTCCCAACTGTTCCGGCAATGATGACGCGTGTTCGCGTCATTCTGCCAGTGCATTCTCATTGCACCATACATTTGTGACCACCATATATGCATATTTCACGTAGGAATACACTATTTTATGTTTGATATTTTCACACTCAACTAATTTTTGTATTTTGTGGTAATAGCAGTAACTTTGTCAATCGAATAGTAACTAGGGTGTGCAGGTCCCTACTAAAAATCGTCGCACGTGCAGATGACCTGTCTGTGTACCAGCTGTTGCGAAGGTCACGAGTAGGTATGAGTGTTTCGTCGCTTAACGCTTGCGGAAACAAAGGACGATAAAATAACGCGGCTGCCAAACTGTTCTTAATCATTGATGACTCGTTAACTGGGGTACTTTTTACTCATACTTTTTTCACCCCCCATTGTGGTGCTATCACGAGATGCATTCTACACTGCCTCCAGATGTTACTTTTCAAGTATTCCGGAATACTAATTAGACATACTTACAATAATTATGTCAACTTGGTTTTAAAGGGATTTTTCGATTTAGTCGCTTATTTATCGAGACTACTTATGGCGCCCAGAAGACATACTAGTTCCGATAAATATATTTCATTTGCTATATAGATTGTTCAAAAATATAAATAAGAAGGTTTCGTTTAAATAGCATCACAGTTAAATACGGGTCCAATAGAAAAAAATTATAAAAAAAGTTGTTCAGAATACTAAAATATGGGGCTATATAAAAAATTGCGGAAATCAACGCTTTTTCTTGTAGCTGTCTTTCGTTTAAATGCTTATTAGAAAAATCGACTAATGCAAAAAGGGAAATTAACAAACTGTGATTAAACCAAAGAGCGACTCACACTAGTTACTAATAAAGATGTGCAAAATGGTTTTTTAAAAGTATTTACCTTGTTGATTCGTTATTTCAAATGTAAAATACAAAATAGATTTACCTTTTGTTTTTTAAATGCTAAATGCAAAATACGTATTTTCAAAATACTTTTTTATAGTACCTATTTAATTTCTTACATTTTCTTAAGTATAAAACGTTTTTTCAGAAAACCTTGCAGACATTGGCTCATTTTTTAAATATTGGAGTTTTCTACACTAATAGTGGTGTTTGCACTATATCACCAACTGCAAAGATTCATGTTTTTCTGTTTGAAGTGATTGAGATATAGTTTTTCTGTCTTTATATTATAGTTTCTTCAGTTCAGCAACAAGTAGTTCTTCTATATGCTTCCTTATTTGCCTTTGTCACCCGTTTTAATTGGAAAAAAAACTCATGCCAAAATAATTCGTTTACCGTGAAAAAGCAGAGCCAAACTTGCAAATAATTTTATTGATGTAAAGTCACCATCAATCATTTTATATTAAAATATTTACAACCCCATTTTGTTTCTGATCTTTTACACATTGTAATAAGAAAAAGAAATGGAATTCATAGTTCTTTAGCTTTCGATTCATCTCAAAAGTGAAGTTTTTCGAATCCTTTTTATAGAATTTCGTAGTTTCTTGCTAAAGGTACGATAAGTGGTGATTTGGTTGGTGCTGATATCAATTTGGAATTTCAAAATTCCGTGGATTATGACATTGAACCCGGAAAACAATATCAATCTAAATATTTTAGATTATCAATTTCCAAGGAGTTTATAATTTTTTGGACTGTCTTCAGTTAAAGAATTAGAAGGTATTCATGGAATGTCTCTTTGTTCCCTTTTAAGCTTCTAATACCTTCAGTGGCCACTGTGAGCAAGCTTCATTCATCTTTGTATAAAATGTTTGATCGGCAAAAATATATTTTACATTTTACAAATAGATAATAGTTTGGAAAAGTATTTTAAATAAAATTCAAAATGCTTTTTCCAAATAAAAAGTATTTAAATGCAAGATAAAAATTTTTATATGCAAGTATTTCAAATAAATTACATCATTGGTTACTAAGCTATTTTTAAACACGTGTCCGCAATGAACAGGGGTAAGTCTCTTTTTAGTTGATTTATTCCTCTACCAAAGTATCCAGTTTCTACATTAATTCAAATTGCGTATTCACCTTATAGCATAAATTCTATAAAAATACAATAGAGAATTAAAATGTTCACACTTAGAGCATGATTTTCGTTCTTCACGATTGCCGATGGTCGATTGTCTATTGTTTGCTGATTTTACACGAAGGAATACCCCTCGTACAACTCAAGTACGAGCCGCTACTGCTTCATACATGTATCAATTTACATATCCATAATATACACATACATGTATCATTACTACATGGAAGTGATTTATTGCTACTTGTATTTCTTCATCAATGGAAACACTACAATGAACTCATGCCAAAGTTTGGTCAATAATTCGGCATAAAACTTAACCCGTAATACGGTGTGAGCAGTCTGAAATGCGGTAGTTACTTTATTATCACTTTGCGCTCGTATGTTAGGTACTCTTATGATGCTTCTGGTTTAAATAAAAATAGACGGTAAAAAAATAGGACAACCGCTTCGAACTCACGATCAGATGCAAACGCAGCATACTGTTAACCATTTTTAAAGGTAAGTACAACTTTTAAATACTTTTGTTTAATTTGCTTGCATAGGAAACGTTAGAAGCTTTTGTTTTATCGGTTTCACTTTTGTAACATTATCGTCTTAAAATGTTCGTCTGTATGGTGCTATGTATGTATTGAAAAAGAAACAAAATTAAAAAGGTATTTAAAAAAATAATATATTTTATAATTTAATTTGCAATTATAATTAGCTATTTTAGATTTTGGTAATAAAAATTTAAATCGTTTATCTTTAGTTATCTATTAATTTAATTAGAAAAGAAATCAGTAGCTTAAAAGGAAAGAAAAAAAATTAATTGAATGAACTTTAATATAAAAAGTTGTGAAGTTTTAGTTGTACTTACTTCAATATTAAATAAAACAGTTGTGCGAAAAAAGCAAAAAAAAACTGAGAATAAAGCACAATTTTCACTATCTAAAAATTTGAGGTAGGTTTTTATAGCATCATAATTAGGCCAAGAATGTTTTTTTAGAAACAAAATGTATAATTAGGTATGATTGTTGGAAAATTTTCGTGATAGAAAAATTCTCTCATCTTGAAATTCATCTAATTGTTACTGCTAATATTTTTAAATAAACAATGAATGTAAGGAAATCAACTTTTTATTTATAAGTCGGAAACTTTTGAATTTTGACGATTACGATCTAGCTAAAAAATGAGGCTTTATTAATATTGTTTTAAAAATATAACAGTTATTGAAAAAAAACAAAAAAAAATCCTTTTTAAAATTGTTTGCAACTTTTTAATTTTTAATATTAATTTGATAAATTTTTCATAAGATGATAGATTTTGGTGTACTTTATTACTGTACTAATTTTACGGAGCCCGGTAGCATCAATAATTTTTTGCATAATTGCTGTTTATTACACGAAGCGCTAAAATCAATATTTTTAACAGGCTGCCACTCCTATTAAATAAGCACTATGACCTTTTATTTGGTGTAATTTTCCTCTTTAAGGCTCATACTAACTTTCTATAAAAATGTTCAAGATTTTTTCATATTTATTCATGTTAAAACGACATTGCAAAAATGCTATGCTTTTAGCTTATAAAAAAGTGGAATAGCATCGTCATATTGAACTTAAATTGGAGGGGACCTTCATCATGAAAAAAATTCAGATCTTTAGAAAAGAAAAGGTCGTAGGTCCTCTGGGCGCCGAAATAGTTTTTTTATAAATTCGCTGTACTTTGGGCATTAAGGATTGAAACTTACAGCCCACCTTAAATTATACTCATAACTTCTAACTTCAAAAATTAAATTAATATATGGCTATTTAGTCTAGTAGTAATAATTTTGTAGGCGCAAATTTTAAAATACTTAACAGCCCGTTTTATGAAATCGTGCAAATGGCGCGGTAAACGCCATCTGTAGTACAATGCTACATTATACGGATCACTATGTATCCATAGTATACTTTTTATGAAAGATAGTCAATTGTGGTGTCCTCTGGAGGTGAATGTCTGTTACTCTTCGATTAGTTCTACTAATTTCAAGAGTACTAGACCATTCTCAGTGTGATGTGTCGTTCTACTTACAGATGTCACTATAGACACAAATTTTAGTGTCTCAATCCACTCTGAGTAACAATTCCCTGTACAGATTTGTACTTTTTACTGGAACGAAACTGGTTATGATACGTTACGGCACCAAGGAGAAAACCAGCAAAAATTAGCGTTGGTTGATGAATTTTTTTCCCTATTTTTATTATCANACTACTCCAGGAATGCTGAGTGTGCAATGACACTAAGGGCAGAGTCTCACGAAGTGTCCACTCCAATCATTCCATCAAATATTTCGAACGTGCAATGGGTATTAAGGGCAGAGTCTCACAAAATACCCCGTCGCAAATATTTATGTCATAACAGTACTGAAGGGCAGAGTCTCACGACAGTACAATTGCTAGCATAAATTTTATCCAAAATAATTAGATGAACACTGAAGGGCAGAGTCTCACAACAGTGCTCAAGACAATCGTAAAGAAATACAAATACGTTTACATCGAAAATACGGTCATAGCTTCATTTTATTTGAATGAATTAAATCATCGTATATCGGTAAAGTTTAGTAAATAATAAAAACTTAACATCTAAATCTTAGCATAAAGATTACTCCGTGAGAAAACTCACCTAATTAGATTTATCTATATTTTCGTAACACAAATCACAAAAGCAACTATCCACGTTAACAGTCGACTAAACAATGTTGTGTAATTTTAATTTCTTTCTTTTCCTTGAGAGGAGAGATGATTCATTTATCTAATAATATTTGTATCGATAAACCCATACTACGAAAGGACAAAAAAAAAAGAAAAAAAGATTAGCGTCTTACATATGTATACATCTAAGATATCGGGACAGATGCGGAACCGACAAAAAGCGGAACCGGCCAAAATGCGGAACCATACGTTTCTACATCTATTTATTTTTCAGGTAATAATAACAGAAACGGACAAATGCGGAACTGTAATTTTCCAGAATATTATTGTATACATATTTATGAATGTTATATTTATATATACAACAAAATAAGTTAAACGAAATACAAAACCTAAAAAAAAAGCAAGTAGAAAACGAAAATTAAAATAAAAAGAGTTATTTATTTGTTATTCTTGATGTGATTACAAGAACAATTAGACTATCCCCCGCCCCCGCGGTGCGCAAGAAACTTGAAAATAAAACTCAAGAGGACCTCTGCTATAATGCTTTATTCAATGTAAGTAATAATAATGCAGATATAGTATCCTTATGATTTATCAATTATACGAGTTTCAACTAAATGAATAACTAGTAACCATAACAATTAACAGAATCCCAGTTAAAGTAAATATTGAAACAGATGACCGTTAAAACTCTTATAATTTTCTTAAGACATTTTACAGTTTTGAGAAATTTTCAAGATGAAAAGACGAGCCTGTAACAGACGCCTAGTAGAGATTAATATAAAAAATACAAACGAAAAACTACGAAAAGATCACTTTTGTTGCAACATGCTTCCCACCCTGTACATGGATACTATACAGCTGTTGTTTACTTTTTACGAGAATTAATAAGACAATTTTTGAGGCTCCGCATATGTCATCTGCCTTTTTTTAACCTGTAATAACAACATGTATAAAATCTGCATTTGCCCCGGTTCCGTTTTTTTTGTCGGTTCCGCAATTGGCAATAATAGTTGAACCTGCTGATATATTCAAATTAATTTAGAAACACCCTGTACCTATTTATTTGTCGGTTAGTAGGTACCTAATACATTAGCAGCTACACAATTGCAATTGAAATCTCCTAATAAATGCCTTACGTGATGAATGTTCTATTTACTAAATATTTTTCAGTTTGACATTGTTGGATCTAAATAACTGTCAGAAGAGCGGATTCTTCGATTATTAATAGATTGTTTTGATAGGTTATTGAATTGATGAATAAATCAAGATCGCCTTAGACCCACACACAAGATATTCGCATGCGTCAATCAGTTTCTACCTAATTACTCAAAAATAAGTACATTTCACTCAAAATAAGTAATTGTGGAACTGCATGATTAACAAATTGATGAAGGCTTTCGAGGCCAGTAGGTGAACTGATTTGGGCCTATAACGTTTTGCTAGCAAGAGTGGCTTTCAGCGGACTGTCCGCATGCAGTATCAGAGATGGACGGACCTCTGAAGAAGTTCGCCGCTCGTGCTAGCGAAACGTTAGGAAGCAGCTCTAATACATGATGACCTTTGCACCCACTTTTGAAGTATATCTATTGTTGGTAGGTGCTATTACTCTAGCGAGAAGTAACTTTGTTTTAAAATTGTTGTAAGGTGATCGATAGTTTATTCGATTCTATTTTCGGGCGGTGATAATTGCAATTGTTATTAATAAAAAGCTATGAAAAGATTCTTAAAAAGAGTCAGTTTCTGATAAGAAAATCCCAGCCCTCGGAATTGTATCTTCATTATTTATAATTATAATTTATCGTTGAAAACAGCCTTCCGTGCAGGCGCTACAGCATACTTACACCGCTTCTAAATGTATTACAATTTCAGTTTTAGACTCTGTCACATATCGTCGTTTTTGTTATTTTTATACAGTCGCAATTAGATCTGTTTTTAACACTTTGCTTCTTTATGATGTGTCATAATTAAATGTGTAAACTCAGGAAATAATAAAAAGGGATAGCAAAAGTCCTGAAATATTGATTGAATATTAACAAGTAACGTTTGTTCTAATTTTACATTATTGGTGACCATCATTTTCTTAAAATTTACTAATGGTTGCCATCATTATTTTTAATTTCTAGCACATTATTAGCATTTTCGGCCATTATTATGTTTTCAATTGTTGCCTTTATTGGCCATCACGATTTTTAATTATATTTTAGTTTTGTCCGCGATGCCGGTATTAGCCTTCATGGCATCCTTGTGCAATTTCTTAATAGTGTCCCTTGTAAAGGTAGATAACCTCAAATTAATGAGAAAAAATTGTTGTGACCACGCCCTCGTTGGTAATCGAACCCGACCCTCTGAGTTTATTTGTAGTGGGTAGAGATAGTTCAAAAATTAATTCACTAATGCATTGACAGATCAGTACTGTATGAAAATAAATAAAAGTAAAACTAAAATACTGATATGCAAGGGAAGAAAAAGTAGGGAATGAGCGAATATAAAGATAGGAGACGAAAAATTAGAAGAAGTGGCTGATTTTAGATACCTAGGAAGTCAGATAAGTGAGGATGGAAGGAGTAGTAGGGATATAAAGCAGAGGATAGCGCAGGGTCGTGTCGCCTTTAATAAAAAGAAGTCACTTCTATGCTCGCGAACGGTTAATTTAGAAATTCGAAAAAGGTTGTTAAAGGTGTATGTTTGGAGCACGGCGTTGTACGGGTGCGAAACATGGACAGTGGGAGCGGCGGAAAAGAAAAGGTTAGAAGCGTTCGAAATGTGGTGTTATAGGCGGATGATGAGGATATCGTGGGTAGAAAAGGTTAGAAATGAAGAGGTATTGGAAAGAATAGGAGAACAGAGGACTCTATGGAAGTCAATAAAAAATAGGCGAGATAGGTTGGTAGGACACCTTCTCAGGGATGAAGGTCTAGTCAGAGACATATTAGAGGCAGAAACAGGAGTTAGGAGGGGTAGAGGTAGACCTAGATTAGATTACTCTTCGCAAATATTTAAGGATGTGGGCTGTTCTAGTTTTAGAGAAATGCAAAGTTTAGCTCAGGATAGGAAAGAGTGGAGGTACGTGTCCAACCAGTCTTAGGACTGATGACCTTATGATGATGATGATGATGAATGCATTTAATTTAAATCCCCAAAAACTCAGTGTTTCATTACTAATGTTGATCAGTAATTTAGTATTGTTGACTAATTTTCGAGCAAACTATTCAAATCATCATGATTTACTGTATTATAGAAAGAATTTAAATTGCCACTTTCTATTTTAAGACCAATGAAATGGCCCATGAAACTCTAAGAACTTTCAATCTATTGCATTCTAATAAGGGCGCGACCCACGTCTATCAAGAAATTTAATATTTGTGGCTAACGTGAAAAATGACACATTGTTATTAAGGACGATGCAGAGGTTGTAATTTTGGATCATGTTGAACTGGATCCTACATCAACCTCCAAAATATTGGAATATACTTTAAGAATTCCATGTATAAGTCTGCTTAAAAAAATATCGATTCCATCTGTATAATATTCATCTCGTGTAATGGCTTTATGCAGATGACCCAGACTGTCGTATGCAATTTCGTGAGATGATTGAAGAAACCGTGAACAATCCGAATTTTTTACATTCGATATGCTTCCTTAATGAATGCACGTTCTTTTTTAATGGTTCTTACGTCAACAAACATAATTGCAGATATTGGTGTGATTTGAATTATATAATTATGAAAGAACAGTATTTGTAGTTACCTCAAAATTTGAATGCATGAGCTGGGATTTAGTATTGTTACAAAGCATTACAGGATGGAGATCCGCCACATTATGTGGCTCATGTAAGTGACATTTTGAATCAACATTTTTCCGAACACTCACTTGGTTGAAGGAGTTCCACTGAATGGCCTCAAAGGTGGTCAGATTTAACACCATTGGATTTCTTTTTACGGCGCCATTGAAACAGTGTTATCTGCAAAATGGGACCTACCTCTTTAGAAGGTCTACGTCACCGAATTGTAGCTGCAAGGGATAAAATAACTCTTGAAATACTGAAAAATATTCAAGAGAATATTTTACTACTCTATGGAAGTAAATGACTTGCAATTTTGAGAACTTTCTTTTATGTAATTCTACCTACGTTTCTAATGGGATTTTCACGTCAATTATAGAGCAGAACAAAAAATGTTATAGCATACTTATAAAGAGAGTTACATTACCTTTAAAATGTTGTCACTTGACTTCCCGTGTCATTTATGATTCTGTTAGGGGTGTTGCCGTTCCCTTTAGACGTATGACCTTACATTTATGAATTTGCAATTAAAAGATGTGATCTTTTTCCGGGTATTCTTAAAAAAATTTGCCGTTAAAAAATTTCCAGGTTAGGAAGAGTAGATAAGGTTATAGTAATTAAATGTTAACCCTTCAAAAGGGGCGTTTTATTATCCCTCTCATAGTTGAGACTCCAAATATAGTGTTAATATCGATTTCGATTCGTGATTGACAAACTCGCAGAAATTAAACACCTTTAATCTACATTTTTGTTACAAAAAAAAGTTAAAATTTCCAAAAAAGGCGTATTACGGAAGCTCTGTCTGTCTCTATTTAGTCGTATCACAAACCTTTTGTCATAATAAAATTTTTTAAATAGTGTTCCAATATGTTAAAAGATATTTGAATAACGTCTGCGTTCCGATTAATAAACCCCTTGAAAATTTCTTTATAAGTGATTGGTAAAACTCACGCACTCTGATAAATCTTATTAAGGTTTTTTTTTCCAGAAAATGGTGCATCTTATCATAAATAGAAGGATTTACCTATGTGTCAGGAATAGTTTCGCAGTAGCCGGGTTATGTTGAGTGACATTTGGGCTTTGACAGTATGAGCACAGAAATGTTTCCGTTTGACTTTTCAACAGAAGTTTCCATATCCGAAGTAAACGCAAACGGCAAAGATTCATCCACGCAAACAAATCCTGGAGAGAAAAATGCATCAAGAACTGCAAGACGACGTCAACATCAGCCCGATAAAACAACCAACAACTTTAAAGGCAGGTAACTCGACCGCATTTCTACATTTCTTTTATATATTTGTTTTCTTTGGTTATTGAATTAAATTCCATTTACATATCTCTGATAGCAAATTTAAACTAGTACATAAGCAGATCTCACCCTTAATCTGTTGTTTTCAGAATCTCAGTCATCATCGCCATCACCCCCTAGGTCTCCATCAAAATCCCAAAAAGCTTCGTCAAATACGCGTCGCGAGTCACGTTCGTTTGAAAGCTTTCAAAAGAAGTCAAAGGCCGTCCGAGAGGTGGCAATGATAGCTGAAAAACGAAACGAACGGCGGCAGAGACAAGCCGATGAACGAGCACTAAAAGAACAGATAATGAAAGAAGAACAAGGAAACCCATACTGGGAGTTCGCAGCAATGGTCAATGATTTTAGAGGAAATATCGAATTGCGCCCTCTACGCGAATCTGACCCAATTATTGAAAACCAAATCACTGTTTGCGTTCGAAAGCGCCCTTTAAATGATCGAGAAAATAATAAAAAAGAAGTGGACGTCATAACTGTCCATTCCAAAGATAAACTCATTGTCCATGAACCGAAGCATAAAGTTGATCTCACTAAATACCTTGAAAATCAACAGTTTCGATTCGACTATGTTTTTGATGAGACATGTACAAATCTTACTGTCTATAAATTCACTGCCAAACCGTTGGTTAAAACAATTTTCGAAGGTGGTATGGCTACCTGCTTTGCATACGGTCAAACAGGTTCAGGTAAGACTCACACCATGGGAGGAGAATTTAGAGGAAAGTTGCAGAATTTCAAAAATGGAATCTATGGTCTGGTAGCCAAAGACGTTTTTAAATTACTCGAGTCACCAAAATACAAACAAGCATTTATGGTTTCCGCAAGTTTCTTTGAAATTTATGGTAAATTGGTATTTGACCTTTTGTGTAAAAAGCAACGTCTTAGAGTGCTGGAAGACGGAAAACAAATCGTTCAAGTTGTTGGGTTAACCGAGAAAGTAGTTACTGGTGTCGATGATGTGTTAGACTTGATTCAGAAAGGCAGCAACGAAAGAACGTCTGGTCAAACCTTTGCTAACGCCAACTCCTCAAGGTCCCATGCAGTATTCCAAATTTCTTTGAGAAAAATATCATGTCCCAGTAAACTAGTAGGGAAGTTTTCGTTAATCGATTTAGCTGGAAACGAAAGAGGCGCAGACACTTCAAAATCCAATAGACAAACACGTATTGAAGGAGCCGACATAAACAAATCTCTTTTGGCCCTTAAAGAGTGTATTCGAGCCTTAGGCCGCAAAGGTTCTCATTGTCCCTTTCGAGGCAGCAAACTCACACAAGTATTGAGGGACTCATTCATAGGAGAAAGATCCAGAACCTGCATGATAGCTCTAATATCTCCAGGAGTTACGTCCTGTGAACATACGTTGAATACACTTCGATATGCAGACAGAGTTAAAGAGCTCGTAGTAAACGGTTCGGCTGATGATACGCAGAGTATCTCCCCTAGGGAGATATCTGATGAAGAGGACGACGAAGATTCACAATCTAGTTCTGTACAATACAGTAACTCTCAAATCAGACTATCCGATGGAAATCAAGATATTAGTAACATACAGGTTGCTGAAATAGATGTGTTAGAAAGTAATCGACTGGTGATAGAGAATTGTGTCTACTTCCATAAAATGGCATGCGAATTATATAACAAGAGTCAATCACAAAGCTTTAACAGAAGAGAATATTCACGAACCTGGAGAAATCTGCTTCAGGAAATGATAGATATTCAGAAAGACGCATTGATAAAAGTTACAGACTTCTGTGCAGCTCTTGAAGCTGAACAGTCCTAATGAAAGGTAAGATGGTGATTAATGAGGTCTCAGGATTTTTTGGTATCTTTCTCGTTTGATTATGGTAGTTATTTGGCGATATAAAAAAGTTATAATAAAAAACAAATTGTAAGTATGCTTCAATTTTATTGTTAATAAATTTTTTTACTGTCAAACGAAATTAATGGGTATTATTCAATCATTTCTTTTAACCCCCAGAAAAGGGGGAAATCAGTATTATTGAATGGTGTTTGCCTTCTTTACAATGTAAATGAGAAACTACTTTTGGAACTATGTAATTACTGTGTTCGATGAAATTTTAATCAATTGCGGAGATGTAGTTCAGATAGTTCGGCAGTCGGTGATATTGAAAGCTTCTTTTCATGGAATCGATTAACTTTTATGTAAATTTCGACAGTTTTAAGTAACCTATACAAACAAAGTGTAACTTTGGTATGCGTAGATTTAATAAGCCGAGAATATGCTTAATTCAATTAATTATTAAAAGCAATATGTTTCACTGTTATCACGGATTTTGATTTATTCTTACTGCATTTTATAGGAAATTTCATTCTTTATTCGAAAAGAATTGGTAGACAAATTTTATTTGGCCGGAAGAGTTTGAAACGTCTTTGTGAAGGGTGTGGTAGGGGTTAACTTTTTTTTTAATTTTACTGATTTCGATGTAATACGAGGGTGGATTGATAAGTTTCCGGCCTAACCAAGAGATGACGCCACTAGGCCTACCTTGAGGTGACATTCTATAGTACCATCCTTGGATAGCTTGTAGCTATAGTTTCAGCCCGATCTCCTTGCTAGTGTAGGTTTGACAGCACGCTGAACAAGACGCCTCTGTGGTTTTCGTAAAAATGGAAAAGCAGGAAAATCGT